GCATGTAGTTGTGACGGGCGTGGGGTGGATAAATGGATGGAAGAGCACAAAGAGGTCTGGGGGAAAGATCATCGGTACGAGGAGATAAAGAAAAGGAGGAAGAGGAGGAAGAAGAGGAGGAGGAAGAGGAGGAGGAAGAAAAGGATGAGGAGCATGAAGAAGAGGAGGAGGAGCAGGAGGAGGAGGAGCAGGAGGAGGAGGAGCAGGAGGAGGAGGATAAGGAGATGCAGGCAAAGAGTATGTTTGGAGAACGAAAATGAAAGGAGACGGACATGGCGACAAAGTTGTACAGACAAGGAGATGAGGAGTGTTCAGAAGAGGATTCGGAATGACTTTTTGGGTGGTGGGTGGGGTCGGTTTGGGGATGGAGGAGGGGGCGTTGAGGTTGGTTTAAGTACTTGGTATTGGGTGCGTGGGTGTTGGGGTAGGTTGAGAATGCTGGTAGAAGTCGAATGGGTTTCAAGTAGGGTGGGATGCTGTTGGGTGGTGGAAGTAAAGTGAATGAGAGAGGACAGATTACGGCAGAAAATCTGATGAGTTGGACTTGTCAGTTAACTCACTGAGGCACACGTTCGGCTCATCGTTCGACAACGTTTAAATACGCGCTGTTTTGGTGCACCTTAAGAAAAAGAAGCATAACATATTTTTCATTCTGTTTTCCTTATCTGAAACTTTAAAAAGGCATGCAATAATTTAAATGCCTACGGTGTAACGTTTGAACTGATGACATTTTATTTGAGTATAGTGGTTCTAAAAAAGATCAAAGGGGAGTTCTGTGTAACCTGGAGAAAAATCGCAGAGATCGATGTTTGATGTACAGTGTAAAAAAGTGGAAGGAAATGGAATAACATCAAGAGGCTAGCCTAGGATAGAGAAAGGTGGAAAGTGTTTGTTCGTGGTGCAAAGTGAGAAAGGCAATGAAGATGATGGTGATGATGATGATGTTGACGATGAAGGTGGTGGTGGTTCTAAATGTGCAGCTACATTGTCTGCTGTTAATCGAATATAATTATATCGTGCCCGCTATGTACTTAATTCTTTAAAGGCGAAGGGGACACGTAAGTAAGAACCGATCAGCAGACCATTAGCAATGTTTTATACTATCATGATATACATATCGGAAACCCGATAGAGCTATTTTCAAGTCATGCATGTTCTTGTCTGCCATTTTTTTTTTGGGGGGGGGGGGTTATTAGATAAAGTAACCAATATCTTTAAAAAGTCCGAATAAAAAATAACAACAAAAGTCAAACAAAAAATGAACGGAAAAAAAGAAAAAAGAAAAAAACCGAAAAAAACCCCCATCAAAGTTATAAATCTCTTTCAAATCTAGTATGTGGAATGACTAGATTGCGTGTCTGATACTCCCTAAAAGAGTTAATGTACTCACCGGTTCACAGCTGGTGTAGTAAGTACGTCACGCTGGGGTGACCTGATTTGTCGTTTCTGAAAGAAAAGGCGAAGGTTTGTTAATGATAGTACATGTATTAGAAGAAAAGTTATTTCTTTAAATATCCTCGTTCTCATCAAGTGTTGTTACTAATTATTGGCCGTGATATTAACTGTGTTGTTTTCTTTTTGTTATTTGTATTTGTTTCTATTTTGTTGTTGTTCTTTTTAGGGCGTTGGGGTGGAAGGTTTTATTATCTCTCTCTCTCTCTCTCTCTCTCTCACTCTCTCTCTATCTCTCTCTATTCCTCTTCCTGTCTTTCTCTCTATCTCTACCTCTCTTTTTTTCCTTTTTATTTTGTAGTAACCCGCTGTTCTC